TAGTACTAGTAGTAGTAGTGATTCGAGCTCGGATGACGAGGGCGAGGCGACGCCGACGACGCGGAGTGGAGCGAGTACGGATAGTTTGGAGAGTAATGGGAAGAGGGGCACGATTGATCAGATTAAGGATTATAGGGGGCATAGGAAGCAATTGCATCGGAAGAATCGGGGGATTATGCAGTGGAAGGTATGTTACGATCATCTCTTCGCTTTAGAGCGCGGATTTAACTGACTTTGCGTGCGCTTTAGGGACCGCGAACACTGCAATGGATGAAGCATAAAATTGACCACGCGGAGGAAAAGATTACCAGCCAATTCAAGCACTCTGAGCGGGACACGGGGATCGAGACGGAAGTCTAATGGTAGGCGGTTTTGGAAAGCTTGAAAATGAAGTGCGTTGGAGTTTGGGACGTCGTTCTTGCCTCCTTATAATTAACGAGTGTATGCATCAAGGGATAGGTATCAAATTGGCTTGGTAAAGCTGAGGTATTCTTGGGCATGGCTGGCGCTGGGACTTTTATTATTCTAATACCAGTTGATACTACGAAATAGCTGGCCATTCTGAGATTAATGTGACCCTTGACTGAAGCTAATCGCGATGAAGTCGCGTATTGAGTTCTGCATGTAGAAGAGATTAGCTCAGGGAGCACCACGACGAATTATTAGCAGCGTAAAGATGTGGACGGACAAGGCGAGTCCAAGGCGCGTGGTTTGTAGAGAATCATTGCCTTTTGAATCTAGTAAGCTGTAGTCGCATCGCTCAGGCTGCCCTGGAGGCGTGGCGAAAGACTTGCACTGAAAGCGTGGCGAAAGACTTACATGGGAGGTAGCGAACGACTCGGGTGGGGTCGCGGCTAAGGAGAAAAACCAGGATGACGCGATGGTGTGAATGGTTGCAGAAGGTTGCGGGATACCCAAGTGAGAAAAAATCAGGATGATGCGACGCTGTGAATGGTTGGCAGAAGGCCGTGGAATCCAAGCTTAGAATAGCCGTGTCGGACAGGGATCGCGCTTCTAGCCGATCTTTCGCTCTTCTGGAAGCCCTCCTTCATGCACTTAGCGACGCCTGGAGGTGCATGATTGGCCCAGCTGACTTATTGGATGAGGATTACTGGATGGACGGGGAGGAGACAAGAACAGGAGCAACAAGTGGAGTGTGATGGAGGGGAGCACTAGGCCAAATGTGTCGTCGGACTGCGTTAAAGCTCCGAATGATAGAGTGAGAGGCAGTAAGGCAAGGCAGGGTGAGGAAGCGCCTTCCGTAGATTAGAATATATATATAGGTAGAGTTTACTTTAAAAAGGTGTAGAAGGCCGCTTAAGTTAAGTACAAGACTATTAATTGATCAAGTCCATGACGGTGCTTAACGCAGATCTAGGATATCGACAACTGCCTGGACGGTCAGGTTCGCTGTATTACTGGCTGGCGACGCCGCAGCGTGCATTCAGTTTCCCTCGGCTACCATGCAGCGCGTGGTGCAAAGATGCATGCCGCGTGCAGGTGCATGAAGCCAGGGACTAGCTTGTCGACGGTGAAGGGCAGCAATTATTCTCCATTGAAACGCATACTCGGATTGATATTGCTCATGTTCATACGATTGGAGACGGCTGAACTGAATCAAACCTCTTCAACATGCCTATTGGATAGTCTGGTGGTTGGGCTCGAGGTTTTGCAGCGTTTCGCGGCAACTGTCACTTCGCGGGACAACACAATCAGGTGTCAGCAAGACAGCCCTACAGCCCCAGCCTAGCATATTGGCTCGTAAATGCAGAGAAGCTTAAGCCACCCGAAAAAACAGTCTACCGGAACACGTCAACGGGCGCGAGGAGCAAGGTAGGCCTCCTGCCGCGCCCACTCATCTTCCCATAAAAGCCGGCGTCTACCCCAGTGCTCTAGCTTTCAGCTTACAAGTTTGAGCCCTCTTGTGATCGCTCAGCCTTGTTCTCAGCCACATCTTGCCGTCAAAGTTTTTTTGAAGTATGCTATACTGTTCAATATACTAGCCGACGCCAATATGACTCCATATAGTTCCACCATGCAGGATGGAGTAAGCTCTACTGGTGAGAAAAGGTACGTACGGAAACATCTCGTAGAGACAATGTGTCAACATCCAACTACGATGGCTCATAGCCTGGCTCTCGAGGCCGCCGTTACTATTGAGGTCGTGATTGTGACTTCTAGTCACGTGACGTGCACCTTCCATTTGCAACTTCCGCAGGTTGTTACGAAACTTGAAGCTGAGATCAAGGGCGGTCTTACTGTGGTCGTCGATTATCGTCGATAGACTAATACAGCTTTTCTCTATTCCTTCACTCTCATCAGCCTTCCCAGCTCTAGGGTGCACTTGAAAGGTCTAGGAGACTTACTGACATGTCCCAGCCTCGACCAGCCAAAACCCTCCTCCACCTCCGCCGCCACTACTCATCATCCCACCGAACCTGCACAACAGACTTTAGCCAACGGGGCTGACGCTATAGCCGAAGACTTGGATGCATACATGGCCAAGGCCAACGAAGCCGCCCCGAAGATAGATCTTACCCAGCCGTCTGCCTGCCCTTGCCACCACCACGTCTTGAACTATCAAGTTGGCGAGAATGGAACCTTGCATGTTCCTACGAGAGCTGGCTCTATCTCTGGACAACAACCTACAGCATCGAAGAAGTGTACGTGCGATCAAGCACTGGAGGCGGCGTATCGGAACTCTTGCAGCAACGCTCAAGGGTAGCCCCAGCTTCGGTTCGTACACTAGGAGGATACTGCTTGGACGGAGTTTGTCTTGGATATGTGTATGACTGGCGCTGGGTTGGCAGGCGTTAACGATACCGTTGTCAAGCTGAAGGGAAAGCTTAGCGAAAGGAGTTGTGGTTTGAGGAAGGCGTTGGATTTCTTAGGCAAGGTCTGGATGTTATGTAGTTGATCGTATAAGTTCTGTATATCCATACCTATTTTATCCATTCATTAGCATAAGTCTTGAAGCGAGAGCGACACCAAAGCACAAAAAGAACTCACCAACCAACCAACCATCCCGATACAGCCTACGCGAAATATCATGCAAGTAACCGCAAAAACCTCCGCATTCCTCCTTTGTCCCACCCCACAGGCCCACAAGCTCCCGGCTCCACATTCCACACACCACCTCCGCAAACGTCATCCCAAAACATCAAACACCTGATCCCACCCGCTTTGTCCACAGCACACCTATATCTCCAACTCAGACATTACCCACTCTACCACGCAGCAACCTCGAAACCTACCCACAGACTAAACCCACGACCGCATCCCCGGATCCCAAGTCTCGCCAGCGATGTACAAGCTCAAAGGCGGCACAGTGCCCCTCCCACGCTGGATCCTTGTCTTCCGCCTCCTCCAACTCATCTTCGCCGTCTTAATCATCGCGTTGACGAGCTACTCCATCTCGATCAACAAAGGCGGTCCCGTACGCGCATCCCTCTCCACCTCCATCCAGCTGCCCACTAACACCCCCACAGCTCCGCCCCGGCATTATCGCCGTGCTCATAATCGCCATCTTAACCGTCTTCCCAATCCTAGCCTTCATCGCCCCCCTGCACATCGCGCAACGCCGCATCTACGACCCCCGCATCGCGCTGATCGGAGACGGCATCGCAACGTTGTGGTGGTTGGGCGCGTTTGCGGCGCTGGCGGTGTATCAGCGGATTTTCCATAGCTACGCGTACGATTACGATAACAACTTTAAGCGGGACGAGAGGGCGCTGGAGGAGCGAGCTCTTTACTATGCCGGATGGAGGTGTGATGGGGGACGCTGTCGGCGGGCGTGGAGAACGGGGACGGCGGCGACGGTGTTTGCGGCGATTGAGTTGTGAGTTTTTCTTTTTGGCTAGGGCTGGTCGGGACTAATGCAGTGTTGTAGTCTGCTCTTCCTCTTGACGACTGTGCTCTTCCTCTACTACTACCACGCCCACATGGCCGGAGTTTCCGTATTGGGAGTATCCAGACACCACAAGGGCGGCCTTGAGGCTGGGGCAGTTGGAGCGGGGGTTGGTGCTGGAGCTGGTGCGCATCATGAGAGCCACGCTATGAACGAAATGCCTGCGAATACCGGCCCAACAGGCGTCGGTGCTGGCAATAGTGTGGGTGGTCACCACAACGGCGGATCTATCGGTCACCACAATGGCCAATCCGTGGGCCAACATAACGGCCCAAGTGGTCCGGGGATGAATGGCGGTACTGGTGTCGTCGGGAATGCTGGAGACTATGGGGGACATAATGACATACCGCACCCGGATCGCCCGCCGCGTGAGGGCGCGTATGGCGGGATGTAGGAGTGAGTAGGAAAGAGTTTTCCAGGTTGAAGACTGCGAACTTTATGAGAAAGGGTTTTGAGAGGGTCATGATGAAGAAGTATTGCTCAAAGTAGCTTTTGAGGTTTTAGTCTATGATAATATCCCCTTCAAGAACAGTACGGGGTTTTGTTCAAGTCGATGACTAGAGGAAGAACGAAAAAGGATAATTGAGAGTATGAGAATTGGAGAATTGCCATTTTGGGGCGACGACTAGGGGACACTCGAAACTGGCTATATTTATGTGATTGGAACGGCAGTTATCACGTGATATCCACGTGCATATTGGAAATTGCCAGCCTTGGAGCAGCAATCAATACCCTGAAGCGCTAGAGAGGACGAGCCTGGACTTTTATGTCATGTAGGGATCCTTGAGCTTCAGTGCTTACCTTCAGGGCTGAGAGTTAATAGGCCATGCTAAACATATGTAGCTGATAAATTACGACTGAGTTTTTTTCGGCCTATTTGGATAGCCGCAAGTGCCGAAACAAGTCCTGAGAGCCGCTTGAAGATGCCCAGCGCCAGGAATGCGACACTGGGCCTTCAAACGTACGATAGCTTGAAGAAATTTGATACCAAAGGTAGGTTTGGGCGACATTGCAGGCTCACCACATCGGAGCCACTAAACTACACCGGGTTACAAAGCGCAGAGAACGGATCTCTGCAAAGAGCAAAAATCAAGTCCGGCGCCAGGATTCGAACACTGGGTCTTGGGATTCCAGTTGGCATAACTGTCCCTTCGTAAGGGCTTAGCGTGTGGTCGCGAGGGGTTATGACTGCTGCCTTACCATATTATAGCCACTAAACCACACCGGATTTAAGTTTGCTAGGAATAAATCACCACAAGACAGTTAGTTAAAAAAAGTGTCCGGCGCCGGGAATCGACTGTTTTGTTAGAGAAAGGTACACAGACGGCGGAAGGACTCTTACACTCCGGGTCTCCCTCTTGAAGGGAGCTGCCCGCTGTGTTAGTCTTTGTGCAGCTATTGATTGTTGTTGCCTCCGGATGGACTTACGGAATTATGCCACTAAACCACACCGGATTCCGCTGCGTGAAGAATAAATGGATACTTGAGTAGAGATTGTGCTTACTGGTCTGCTTGTCGGTGGAAGCAGATGATTCAGGATTGTACGTGCAGTACTGAGGCGAAGGGCTATTGATAATGAGCTCGACAGCAGGAGGCGTTCGTGTGTGGGGACACACGTACCAGGTAATCACACCAAAGAGATTCCAATTCATGTGTAGGTGGAGGTGAGAAGGATACCGTGTCATATAGAAATGTGTAGACTCTGGCAAGAATCATGAAGGGTTGAGAGCTGAGTTCGAGTTAAGCATCCGGATCACTCAGCGTGCAAAGAACTGGCGATGCTTCGAAGATGCGTGGCAACGGCTGTCAAGTGACGGATGCAAGGCGGAAAAAGTAAGGATGGTGGACCGTGGCAGTCTGCAGGATGGAAGTGTTCTGATTTGTGAGGGACCAATCTACTGCCGGGGGAAACGGAGAACCCCTGCGGCGGTTGGTGAATGTCTCTGCAACTACTCCCATCCGCCATTGGCATTATTGGCAGAGTGACGATTAGTGGCGTGCGTCGAGACCGTTAAGAGCGACGCAGCCATCACCTCAGAGTAGCCTTTGCCAGCGCCATCGCCTTCGCCTTCTTCTGCCGCTGTTTCGAAATGGAGCATCTTTGAAGGCCAGAACGATCGACCTCGGGGTTGATATGTAGAATGGCGGAGGGCAGAGATTGGACGCGGCACAGAGCGGGCGCCTTATCTGTGAAGGATGGCATCGCATCCCCACACTGGCCAGGGTCTGTTGGAACGACTCCGACGTCGACCCTCCACGCCCTTTTCTTAGGGCTCCTCCAGCATGCGCCAAGGCAGTCGTTACGCTACTGCACTTAGAGAGCGTATGTGCAATCCGGTCCTCTTCAGTTGCACCCCGCCGCAACCCTCACCAGCCACCACGACGCCTGCAAGTCTTCAGCTCGTAGTAACATGCCGTAGTATTTAGCTACGCAGCTACGCGCCTGTGACTCCAAGCCCTACGAACCGCCCTATATCTATCCCGTCCGCCCGAACGTCGGGATTCCTAGAGGTATGCCGATACTGGACGCCTGGTAGCCTCGCAGAATGCCTCGACCGAAGAAACCCGGCGCTGCTGAGCCCAAAAAGCGTTCGCGCAATGGCTGCTGGTATAGACCCTGCGCGCGGGACGCTCGCCCCCATTTATAAATTAAGGGACCAGTCTGACGTTGCTTATAGGCCCTGCAAGGCACGGAAGGTGAAATGGTAAACTTCCCATATTGTATTACCCCGCCCAATATCATAGTAACCCTCTCCCAGTGGCGAGGAGAAGCCGCGCTGTCTCAATTGCGAGCGTCAGGGCGAAGCTTGCGACTATAGCATCCGTCTCAATTGGAATGGCCGCTCAAAGAAGAGCGCAGACACTTCGGGGTCTGAAACTCCCCAGAGTGGCACCAGTAGCCCGTATACCTCGACCTTCTCCCAATCCGACATCTTCGCGCCGCCCGCGTATACCCATACCCATACCCCTTCGCCCGTATCTGGGCCACCTCCGCATATCTTCCACCATGCGAGAGGACATTCGAATACATCTGCGCCCAGCCCCGAGGTCTCCATGATTGATCCAGAGTTGATGAGGATCAGTCAGAGCCAGACACAACCCATCATGGCTGCGTACGACACGTTGGAGATGCCGAGACGAGGGAACCCGACCTCTGCACCCATTGACAATCGTCTTCAGCAAGTGCAGTATCGAGGTAACATAGACTACCCGTCACCTACTGCCTCGAGTTTTGATGGCGGGAGTTATGGAGGAGGCTACATGTCTAGCGGGACTATTGACTCGCCCGCTTCTCCTCCTGCAATGCCACCCCCTGGGCGAAATATGTTCTCGCACGACTCGGCGACTGGTGGGGCTAGGCCTTACCCAGAGATGTCTGAACTGTCTGGACACCAAGCTAAGCGCCAGAAACGAAGCCATTCTAGGGACTCTCCAAATGTACTCCCCGGGCCTGGAAAGCAGGATAGTAGATGGGAGAAGGGAAGCGGGACTCTGTCTGTTGCAGACGCATTTTCGCCGAATTCAGGTCCGCTTACCCCTTACAGCCCATTTCAGGGTAATCCTTTGACGCCCGTTTCTTCAGTCGCCTCGGAAGACAGCGGCATGCGTAATGGCCCTGGCCCTACTACTAGCCCGTACCCTCCACCGGATCTTCGTCGACTTTCCGTCAACTCTCTGCTCACTGGCCCTCCGGGTGATAATCCGTCTGGATGGAATACCGACGTGCATGGCAGACATTATCCAGTTGCCGACTCAAGCACAACTACATATGGATACGATGTTGGAAATCCTGACCTAGATACTCTGAAGAACGACGATTTGAATGCTATCGCTGTATTCAGTCCTCCTGTTGGTAGTGCCGGGTTTGCAACCGACAGTCAATTCGATTCGCAAACCGAGAACGGCTTTGGCGACCGATCTAAAGATATCGCGTTCGAAAAAGGGGGATACTATGCAAAACCAGTTCCTATAAAAATCTCGAGATCACTGGAGCCACTTCCAAGGCTCTTGCACGACAATCCAATGAACCTCCTATACTTTCATCATTTCCTGAACCACACAGCTAGGATATTAGTCCCGCATGATTGCGAGCAAAATCCTTTCAGGAGCATTCTCCCACGTAGTGAGTTAGACTCCTTCAATGAGTAATCCCTAGCTGACCCGAACAGTGGCTGTCCAAAACGAGACCGTTCTCTGCTTGCTGTTAGCCTTTTCTGCGAGCCATCGCGCGCGTCTCTTAAATCATCCCGAGCCAGCTAATCGAATAGCCGTCTGGGTGCAGGATGTGTTTCCCAAGCTCCGACAGGATCTAAATAGCAACAACGAAATCTCCAATGCCACACTTACTACAGCCATCATGCTTGCATCTTTGGAGATAATCTCACCAAACACCTTCGAAGTTCCAATATCCTGGCAGAACCACCTCACCGTCGCTCGCCAAATGATCATTGCTCGTGGAGGGCCAAAGACTGTGCAGCGTAGCGACCCAACAGCCTCGTTCTTAGGACGTTGGTTTGCGTATCTCGATGTCCTCGGCAGTCTAAGCGGTGGCAAGAACGACCTTCCCCTGGATTCGTCTTACTGGTCCGACGACGACTACGATACAGACGAAGACTATCAAATCGACTGCTTGCTTGGATTTACGAGTCGCTGTATTGGTATTCTCGCGAGGATTGCCGAACTTGCAAAGCAGTGTGAGAAGATCCGTTTTGACGAAGATGGCAACGTCCGAGAAGGGTGGAAGCCTACCCCCGAGATCCTTGAAAAGGCCGACAAGATCAAGGAAGACCTAGCAGAGGGCCGCGATCACGTGTACAAGGGCTGCAATCATCGAAGCGCGGATAACTCCGAGAGCGAAGCTGGTTGGGACGCTCTGGAGATTTACGCAACGAATGAAGCTTTCCACTGGGCTGGACTGATCCACCTCTGTCGCAGAGTGTTGGGGAAGCCGGCAACTGATCCAGACGTCCAGAATGCCATACGAGAGATCGTTGGAAATCTGTATAAGGTCCGTCGCGGAAGCACGGCTGAAGCGTGTCTCCTGTTCCCGATGTTCACCGCGGGCTGCGATGCCATCGACGCAACCCAGAGGAACAAGATCATGGAGAGATTGAAGAGCGTGGAGGGATTTGGAATGACTCAGGTATGTTGCGAAGATTACCGTCGCAAAGGGGAATGACTAACGAGGTTCTAGATCCACAAAGCACGACAACTTATGCAAAAGGTCTGGGACACTGGAAAGCCGTGGGAAACGTTGGTGTATGGAGAGTTTTTGGGTTGATTTTCGGTGTTTTGTTTGCTTGTCTGATGTGTACATGATTTTCTTTACATGTTGATGATTCCCATATAGATCAGCTTGACGGCAGCCTTTGCGATCGAGCGTGTTCGATGCAGCTGTTACAAAAATTAGCGCCTCTTATTGTACATTTTGCCTGTCTCAAGTCGGCGGCGAAATTGGAGCTACTTTCTAGCAAACTTACGAGCTTCACACCGCCAGCCTAATCTGGGAATTTTCTAAATGCCATGAATGCGTGATAGGAACTACGGCGTGGTAAGAAGAGGCTACCACATCAACTCACGTGCCTAACTTTTGCAAGACTTAGAGTGATATTTTCTCTCAACACACTGAACATTGCATAAAATTTGATGAACGGTATATAACATGAGACGTAATAACAATCTCTCGTGCCCCCTAAAATTACATTTCTTGAATGATGTGAGGTCAGGCCTGTCAGGGATGTCGCGTGCCAAGACTTTAAATCCGCAAGACGTCAGGCCCCAATCCACGGTTCCGTAAATCATCCACCACGTCTCCTCCACCACGAACAACCAAACCACACATCTCCACTCACCATGCTCACAACAACAACGCTCCGCTCCACGCGGGTCGTGATCCCGCGCCTGCAGTCCTCCGCCTTCGGTCCTTGCACCTCAGCTCCATACTCGACGACACCATGCTCCACCTCCTCGAAATCGCAATCCCAGCGCTCAGCACGCCGTCCAGCCCTCCACAAGCCCTCCATCGTCTTCCCCACCCGCTGCCTCTCCGCGCGCAACGCCTCGACCGCGACCGCCCCGTCCACCTCCCCCTCGTCCCCGCAGGAGCCCCTCACAGAAACCCTTACCTGGAACCGGTTCCTCCACCTGCGCAAAATCCGCCGTCGCATCTCGCTAGTGTCGTCGATGGTCAGCGCGATCGGCTTCACAGGCGTAGGGATCGTCACGCTG